CCCGGCCAGCTGGCCATGGCGCTCAGCCCAGGTGCACCACGCTCCACGTGGGCTGGTGCACAAGGGAAGCCGCCGATCAGCTGGAGTGTGGGGCAGCCACCTCTGTTCCTGCCCGCCAGCTGTCCTGCGCTCAGCCTGGGAGAGAAGGTGGGTTGGAGCCAGGACAAGCACATGCGGGGCTTCCCTGTGCTGGGGGAGGGAGGGTCAGCCCCCTGGGCAGGTGAGGGCTGGCTTCCCTGCACGGGGGGGGGGCCGGGCCCGGGGCAGGCGCGTTCGGGGCTTCCCTGCGCCGTGTGGGGTCGGCCCCAGGGCAGGCATGGGCTGGTCTTTCCCAAGGGGGGGGGGAATCTTGGGAGGAGGGAGATGCAGGGGACTCTCCGCCTCCACTGGCACCCCACTCCCCAGCCACAGAACGCTGTCCCCATGCTCCTGGCCCCAGCCACAGTACTCTGTCCCCATTCCCCCGTCCCCACTCCCCGAACTCTGTCCCCACTGGCGCTCTGTCCCCTGCTGCAGAACCCTGTCCTCTGCCCTCCCAGCACCCTGCTCCCTCTCCTCTGCCCCTAGTCGCAGAACTCAAGTCTCCACAAAATGTATAATTATAAATGCTTCATTTTCTATTTAAATAGCATGAATAAAAAACAGACCATTTATTTCATAACTATAAACACCTGATTTTAATGTTATGAATCGCATAATTTAAAAATAAACTGTTTATCAGAGTGTGTAAGTAAGGGCTGAGGATATCAAGTGATGGACAGGAGGAGAATAGAGAGGGCAGGGCTTCAAGGAAGGGGCGGGGCGGTAGATCTTCGCCTGTTCTGAGATTTAAAAAGTGATCTTGGGTGTAAAAAGGTTGGAGACCACTGGTTTAAGCTGGCTGCATGGTGGCAGTTCACAGCTGTGAGCCCTGTGCCTACAGATGATGCCAGCCCCAGAAATGACTGGTTTCAGGTGTCAATGTCCCACAATGCCCCACTTCAGCCAAGGGAAGTATTTCTGAGGAGGACATGTACCAGCACAGAAGGAACAGGTGTGGACATGAACCACCATTTTAATTTAAAAGACTGTGTGTTGACTTATTTTGTAGTGTACACAAGCCCTTAATGGGAAGGTTTCAGTTCCAGATCAACTAATTAAGAGTCCCTTGCAGGCAAAGTACAAGTTGTAGGCCAAGAATCCTCATCAAAGATCCCAATATCTGTGACATTATCCTTTCTAGTGTCTGAAAGTTTAAAAAAAAAAAAGGTACAGAATAAATTTCTTGCAAATCATCTTGTTATTCTTCCTGCTCCCTCTTCCACTTTCTTTTTAAAGTAATATCAATCAGAAGGTGTTGGTAAAAGAAGAGCATACAGAAAGAAAAGCCACAATTAAACTCCCATTGGAAAAATTGCAAAACTTACACTGACCATATTGTTAGTTATACATTCATTTTTTATGCAAAAGGGAATTAGAAAGTTCATTTTTTTTCTTGGCTTGGAACACACAAGAAGTCAATCAGCTAATACTGTTTATCCAAATCATAATATTTTAAAATACGACGACTTCAAGAACACAACTACAATTTACTTTAAGTGCAAAATGAATGAGACTGCTATTGTGTATATCACATTAGCAATAACACAGGACCTGCCCTACTTATCTATGCTACAGCTCAAAATACCCTCCAAGAATCAAAATTCCTTCTGGGAAAAGAAAAAACACAGGCCATGATCCTTTAAGTTATTTTGTATATTCACATAGATTGGAGAGGGAAGGCCAGCAGGTGCATACTGTAGAGAACAACGGTGAACCAGTTTCTACAACACCATGCAATACTCAGAGGCTTTGTCTACATTTAATAGTCTGCTGCATTTTAAACTGAAATTGTGTCCACAGCACAAGTGCTGGGAGAAAATTCTCCCAGCGTTCTATGTAAACCACCTGTAACGGGAGTAGCTAACAGCATTGTAGCCTTGGATTGGTGCTTGCTGAACTCAGGAGGATTTTTTTTTCACACCTCTGAGCCAGAAAGTTACTACGCTGTAAAGTGCCAGTATAGACTTGGCCTCTGTGTCCAGAAGTCCTATCTACACTGCTAAAATTGCTCGTGATGATGATGGCAAATAACAGGATTATTAGGACAGACAGGGATTAAGCATTTTATTGCCATGTCATCAAGACCTGGTCCAAGCAGGATTAGTTCACAGTGGTAAAGTCAGCCCAGTCTATACTAGCATACTTAATTGCAGCAGGAGAGAACAAAGGGGAGATTTTGGAAAAAGGTTTGGTGCAGGTGCACCCACATTTTATGACCCCAATCCATCAAGTTAAGGAAAAGCACCCAAACATAATTCTAGCTAGTAGAGTAGCCAATATGCTTTATGGCACAACTGTCAAAGTATTCTAGAGTCTACCCCATATGCAACAGCCAGTGAGAAAGTTAATCTGTGTTTTACACTGCAAGCATTACACTTACTACATCAACAGAAGGGATTATTCTGTTGCTGTTGTCAATTTTGAGAAATAACAGTTTGACAGAAGAATTCTTCTGTCAATATAGAGGCATCTATACTGTGTTTTAGGTCAGCTTAATTCTTTCTCTCAGTGGATGTGAATTCTTTAACCTAGCTGTCTTGTTCTGGAGTAGTCTTTTAGGTGCACACCCGTCCTTAGAAGCTGATTTACATGGGATTACATTGAACAATTTCTGGCTTGTCCAGGGACAAGGGAGGAATGAGAACATAAATGAGCCTGTACACATTAACAATGGAAACTATCCTAGTACCACCATTTAACACGGATTCAGCTGATGCTTTTTCTATTCAAAATGTAAAACCCTGACTGCGATCCGGCTATTGACAAGAAATATGTAGTCGGCATTTGAAAATACAAAGATGTGAAGAGTCGAATTTCAATGCTCCCCTACAGGGCAGGAGGCTCATGGAGCAAGGTCTGGTAGCAGCCCTGGTAAGGAGCCGAAGCGAGTTTGTACTTTTACCAGGCTGTACCCCGAGGCAGAGCTCCCACGCGTTGAGCCGCGGAAGCTTACAGGCGAGACACTAGACACGGGCGGTACGCGGCCGGGCCGACCCCCCGAGGGAGCGCACCACACGCAGTGCCTCCCTCGATCTCACCTGCTCACGACAGCCCAGCAGGTCCCGGCATTTCCCTTCAGCGGGCGCGGCCCGCCCCGCACTCCGCGTAGCCGCAGGCGCCCATGGGGTCTGCAACCAAAGACAAACGCGGCGCTGAGCGGCTGAGGAGTGTGGGCCGGGCGGCCGCAGCACGCGGGGCCGGGCTCGCCACAGGCCACGCCGGGCCCGGCAGGCGGTTCGGCCCCGCGCAGCGGCCCCTGGAGCACGTGGGCCGGGCACGGCAGGCCCGCGGGCGCTAAACGACCCGTTACCTGCGGAGAGAGGGGCTGCTCGCGCCCGTCACTTACCGGTCGCCCCTGCGGAGCTAGGCCCCACCAACCCCCTACAACGTCCAGTCGCGTCCCCAGCCGGAGTGCGCAGCCTCCAACACGTTAGCTCCCTCGGCACGTGGGAAGCAACGGCCAATGGGGAATAAGCAGGCACGGTCATGCGCAGTTACGCAGGGAGAGAGAGGCATCGTGCATGGTCACGTGCAGCTCTGAGAGCGTGACATCACTAACGACCTCTGGTCTTTGCCGGGTAGAGTCACTGTACCCGCCGCTCAGAGAGAGCCGCTCTCTAGGGATTGGCGAGCCTGAGGCGCGTGCGTGGGCTCGCGGGGCTCCGAGATCCTGCTCCTGCCTGAGCGCCGCGGGGATACGCGCCGCCCCTCCGGCGCCCAGGGCAGGCCCGAGGTGCGGTGGCGGCTTGCCCCCCTGCCGATTGAGAGCGGCCAGGGAGCGCTGCTCTGCGAGGGGAGCGTGTGTTTCGGATCCCTTGACCATTGCCTGGGACAGCCCCGGCACAGGGCTTCCCTCTTGCTTCGGTGCCCCCTGGTCTCCGTCCCAGTGTCAAGAAGTTACTTAGCGCCAGGCTGCTTCTGCCAGAGTTCTGCGGGGCTTCTTCATCTCTGTTTTATAGAAAGCTTTGTATCATGGCTGAGACCTTGAGAAAAACTGGAAAAACTTAAAAAACAACAAATTAAGCTGCAGCATCTTAAAAACTAACATGTGTAGCTGGTATCCTGAGCTTTTGGGGGCACAACCCTCAGACCCTCTTCCCTCATGACAAAGTTTTTGCCAATGTATAACCTAAACCATCCTTGCTGAAGTTTAAGCCTGTTGCTTCTTGTCCTGTTCTCAGAGGCCAAGGAGAACAATTTTCCTCCTCTAGTAACACTCTTTTAGGTACAGGCAGTCCCCAGGTTATGTACAAGATAGGGACTGTAGGTTTGTTCTTAAGTTGAATTTGTATGTAAGTCGGAACTGGTACATATTGTAGGGGAAACTCTAGCCAAACATTTTTTTTAGTTTTGGATAGCATAGGGAAAGGTTAACTCCCCTCTAATGTTTGTTTTGCTGTCTGTTCCCCTGTTCAGAAGATTTCACATCTATTTCTGTCCCTGTGACAAACTCAGGACTAAAAGAGTAACTCATCAAATACCAAACAGCTCTGCACCATGCTTTGAGCTAATAGCTTTATTTCCACACACCACCCAGGGTTCTAGGAGGAGGGTCCTTTTTTTGCTAACACAATGAGGCCAGCACTTTGTTTGTTTTGGTGGAGTCTTTGTTTGCCCAGGGAGCCCAGCATGTATAGGGGGAGGAGGGGCGGAGAGGCTGCTTTTGTCTGCTGTTCTGCAGCCTGTTGCTCAGGGGAGGGGGCAGCCTGTTGCTGGCAGGGGGGCAGCGGGCGTGGGGAGGCACTTTTCCTCTGCCCGGCAGCTCTGCGGGA